GAATCTTACAGCATTCTAGAATCTTGCGACATTCTAGAATCCTAAAAAATTCTAGAATCTTGTGACATTCTAGAATCTTACAGCATTCTAGAATCCTAAAACATTCTAGAATCCTAAAACATTCGAGAATCTTAGAGCATTCTAGAATTATAAATATTTGAGAATCTTATGACATTCTAGAATCATAAACATTCGAGAATCTTACAGCATTCTAGAATCTTGCGACATTCTAGAATCCTAAAACATCCTAGAATCATAAACATTCTAGAATCTTACGGCATTCTAGAATCTTACAGCATTCTAGAATCCTAAAGCATTCTAGAATCTTACACCATTGTATCTTAGGACATTCTAAAACACAGACTTTTATAGGTCGCTAAAAGGTCCCATGGTAAGCATTGTATCTTAAGACATTCTGAAATCTAGACTTTTGTAGGTAGCAAAAAGGTCCCACGGTAAATCTGTCTTCATTTTGTTGGTTGCCATGGTAATGGCGGCACGCATAGATGCAGCGGCCCCTTCAGGAGACAACAAAAGTGAAAGTAAGTCCTAAGGTATTCTAGAATCCTAAAACATTCTAGAATCCTAAAACATTTGAGAATCCTATATATTCTAGAATCATAAATATTCTAGAATCTTGCGACATTCCAGAATCCTAAAACATTCTAGAATCATAAACATTCTAGAATCTTACAGCATTCTACAATCTTACAGCATTCTAGAATCCTAAAGCATTCTAGAATCTTACACCATTATATCTTAGGACATTCTAAAACATAGACTTTAATAGGTCTCTAAAAGGTCCCACGGTAAGCATTGTATCTTAAGACATTCTGAAACCTAGACTTTTGTAGGTAGCAAAAAGGTCCCAGCTGACTCAGGGTGAAGGCAGGGGACACCCTGGATAGGTCATCACAGCATATGCGCTGTCTAATAGAAAAAAAAAAAAGTGGCCCAGATTTGAAAGATAAGTCCAGTTGAAATGTATTAGTTTGAAATTCGTACTGTGAGACACAGAAAATTAGGGCAATACATGTACCTGGACACGAATCAATAGATTAAGTTTCGTGACTATGTCACAGACTGCTGTGAGACTGGGTTGCTATGCTACAAGTGCTGGCCGTCCCAAGGATAGAGGCTATTTGGTGTCCAGCGCTGTGAGCTCAGGTGGGCCCTGGACCTGTAGTAGACATGATTTGACGGTGCCATGGTACTCTCCTCTTGGTCTCCACCTCTAGATCCGACCACTTCTTCTTGACCTCTGCCACAGATCTTGCTGTGGCACTCACAGTATTTATAGTGGTCACGACTTGTTTTTCTCTTCCAATAATGATGCCACTAATGTGACCACCAAATAATAGTACTTGGTATATATATATATAAATGTATGTATTTAAAATGATATATTTTTAAATTGTTTAAACACAGACAGTTAATGTTTAAACAATTTAGTCACACAAGCACTAAACACAAAATACAGTTTCAAGAGAATGTGGCTATGGTGACACTGACAGGCTGAACAGGGAATTACACTGCAGGGAAAAAGTACAAAAAAACCAACAGACGCGTCACTGGGGAGCCCAAGACCCAGGTGTAGACATTCCAGCAGATGGAGGGTCTGAAGTCAAGGGGTGTAACAAGGTTTTATTTAAGATAAAACAATCTTGAACCAACAAAGAACAAGGAAACTAAACTCTAAGGGAAACCAAACAGGGAGTAACCAAACTTCATAGAAAATATGGACAAAACTAGAAACACCCTAAAAATAATAATACACCAACAGCAGGATAAACTATAGAATTAATAATAAAAATGGAGAGTTGAAGTTAATGGAACTCACTAACCGGGGAGTTAGCTATGAGGGGGGAAGGCAGGCAGGCTCTTGGGGAGGGGGGTCAGGGTCTGGCAGGGGAGGTCGGAGCAACGAAGGCTTGGGATCTTTTCGGGGGGTGAGCTAGTGGCAGGTACAGACTGTGGGCAGAATCAGATAGTGAAAGGTATGACCTGGACATAGCTGGGAGCCGGATAATCCAAGGTGGCGTGGGAATTAGCCGATGTGCGGCGGCTGGGCGGCAATGGCTGGAGTGAACAGGCAGGCAGGCAAGAGATGGGTCGATAACCGGCTGAGAACTGCAGAGCAGAGCTAGCACCCTGACTAAACAACGGTTATAATGTGATCAGACAGACTAACTGTGATAATGGAGTCAACGATCTGGCGGAGAGTAGAGGGATGAGCTGGTTTTTAATGGAGCTTGGAGATGAGATCCAGGTGAGCCAGTTGATGCAGCTGTCTCTGATTCTCCTGATGACTGCTGCCAGGGAACTGACAGAGAGAGAGAGAGGGATAGAGGGAGAGGAAAGTGCTAGGCAGGGGCCAAAGCCGTGGCTGATACGGGGACCGTGACATGAGGCCCACTAGAGACAAAACTGACTGGAAAAACATATAAATAACTATAAACTACATAAGAGATCCTGAGAAATTCAGTAAGGTGAAACACTAACCAGAACCAGGTACTACCAGGCAAAGAAAGTTACAAATCAGGAACTTCAGGATTACTGATGCACACAGTGTGAAACACGGTTACTTAAAGAACAGAACAGGTGGCATGACAAGCAGGCAAAACACTAACTCAAGGTGTTGTCGCATAAGGCAACAAGATTAAACACAGAGAGACACAAGCAACGGAATGCACAAGAAACAAAACCAATTCTGAAGCACAAAATGAAACTAAAACTTAGCTGACAGCAACTAGGGGAGAGCGGTCGGGGGGATGCAGGCAGAGGGGATGTGTGGAGAAATCCAGGAAGGTGTTCAGAGTTTACTGTGCTTCAGGGAATGAATGGCAGACAACCAGGATTAGACAGAAAGTGAGGCAGGCATCCAGGAGCAGGAATCTCACAGGGAGCGATATGGAAATTACACAGGGAGAGAATGGTTAGCACGGTTCAAAAGCTACAGAACACAAAACAAACCACAGCTGGCTGAGTCCAGTAGCGGTGTGGAGAACAACGGTCCAGTGTCCAATGATGAACTGAGCCCGTTTTTATGGCAGGTGAGGGAATTCAGAGCAGGTGAGTCATTCCCCGTCACAGGTGTTCACTCTCAGCTGATTAACCCATCAGATCTGTACTGATGGAAACACACACACATGGACATGCACACACACTTCACACATGCCCACAGAAGAACAGAGGGAGAAACTGCCAACTATGGCGTGGTTGAGATGGAGGGCATAGAACCTGGAAGCTGGTTCTGTCAACCTTTGTTTTTTTTCCTCTCCAAGTTAAAGGGTTTTTATTTTAGTTCCTTCCCACTGTCACTGACTGCTTGCTCATAGGGAATCCAAAGGAACTTGTTTATGTTATTAATAATACATTCATTACCACCTAGCCAGCTTGCCAGGTTAAAGTAATTTTTCAGCTTAATTTGTCCCAAATGAAAACACAACCCTGGGTTGCAACATAACAATTAAGGAGTTTATTTGCCGCTTGTAGTCCTACATTGCAAGCAGCAAACAAAGAACTAATAAAAAACATTTCAGAATCAACATCTAAGGGCGTCGGATAGCTCGGCGGGTAAGGCGGGCGACCCATGTGTAGGGGCTTTAATCCCCGACGCAGTGGCCGCAGTTTGATTCCTCATTTGCTGCATGTCATTCCCCCACTCTCCTCCCCATGTTTCTCTGTCTATCTTCAGTGTCACTATCATTAAAGGTGGAAAAGGCCGAAAAATATCCAAAAAAACAAAAAAAACAATCACCATCTAAAAGCTATAATTACGCATTTATAACACCACTAGAAAATCTAGCCTGAGAGAAAAACAGTGACCGCTCACACTTGAAACAATTTCTAAACACTTATAATTACATTTAAAGTTACTGTGTAGCAGTGTATCTATTAACTGTATACACATTATATCAGTACTTCTCAGTAAACCCCCATCTCAATAATATGGACAGCCATTCACAGACACAAACTGAGTCATTTCCCTTTTTATAGCACCTGAGACTCCTGTTTTGGAGAGGGAGGATCAAGGAAGTTAAAGGCTCTGTAAAAAAAATAAAAAATAAATCCGTGTGTAGAGAAGACACACGAGGCAGGAGGAGGTGCATAACCCTCCACCCCTTTTGTCTCTCCCTCTCTCCCTCACAAGTCAGAGTGGCAAAGTTTGGAATTAACCTCCCAGTAATACACACACACAGTCTGTATATTTCACTTCTTTCTTTTCAAATGGATTACCACCACCTTATACTGCTGTGGACCTGCAGCCTTCTGCCAGGTATGTGAGCAAGTAACACTTGACACAGCACAGGTCAGAGACAGAGAGATAAAGAGATCATTGCGTGCACATCAGACAGATGCTGCTGATGGACTGTTAGCTGGAAGGAGATTTCAAATGTTGTCAGCATGATGGCCTCACAGCAAGAAGGGTCTGGTTCAAAGGTAGTTGCCATCTAGGCCCTTTCTTGTGTGTGGCTGTGTTGGTTGGTGTTGCAGCTTTCTCCCACATTTCAAATGGACTCGTAACCTGTCCAGAGTGTTACCTAGTGTCAGCTGGAATGGGTCTTTTCTCTCAGATCACTAGAATTTCAGTAGGCTGAAAGGTTAATATGGATTTTCTGCCCAAAAATTAAAAAACACTCCCTACTCTTGCTTTAAGTTAATTATTAATATATATTTTTTCATATTAATCCTCTCGGGAACAGAAATACTGCATATGTGTTTGTCTCTGTGCGTTATCCCTATAATGGACTGACAACCTGTGCAGAATGTCATTTGGGACAGACTCCAGCAAACCCCGCAACCCTACACAGGATAAAGCAAGTATAGAAAATGGATAAATGTATGGATAAAACAGAAATGATGCTTGTGAAATCGTCCTTTGGATTGCCAGATATCTCTTGTGTAAAATGTCAAACTGTGGTTGGTAACATCACACAGGAAAGCACTTCCTACCACTTGCCTAAAACACAAGCTTCTTCTAGGACTCTTTCCAATTTCCTTTTTTTCTAGTGATGGTTTGCTTTTGTTTTAACTATTTGATGTAACCCCACCTGCTGCAAACAGGCTGGGGTTAGGTTATAATCATATTTGGAAACGGATGTGTCCCGACAGGTTGAGAAAGCCAAGATTTGCCATGTAACAAACTAAAGGAACCAATCCTGTCAACTTGGTTTCTGTATCATTGTTTATCTTCGTAATCAATACTCCTATATTACAGCTTGCCATTGTGTAGAGTTGTTTCTACAGAGTTGTAGGAGAGCTGGTGTGCTCAAGTTGCGGCGAACTAGGCTTGAATGTAGAGAGTCAGGGACTACACAGATTTGCACAAGAGGAAGCAGTGTAGAGTTAGATCTGGACTATTTTAAAAGTGGAAAAGGTGGGAGGGGAAGATTATTTTAATGGGGGGAAAAAAAATTCTAAATGTGCAACTGTGACATACAGAACGATCAGTTTTAGGTTTTAAATCCACCACTTAGACTTGAGAGGAACGTTTAAAAAATGAAGACTGCATTGTTCCAGCTAAAGATAACAATATGTTAATCCGGAGGAGTAAAACAGGAGGGCTCACATTAATTCAACATTGTGAATGTTTATAATTTGCTAATTTGTTGCACCTATTATGACCGGATTTTTTAAAATCTAAATTGCTTTGCCTCCTTCAAAGCATTTTTAGAAACATACCCTCCCCACATGGTCTATTAAAGCTGTTGAAGAATTGATATCACATCATATCACAAACACTGAACATGCAAACTGATATCTAACCAGAAATATCTAGAACCTTGGTAATTAGCAAGACAAGTATGAATTGACAATTTTTAAAAAAATACATAAAAATTTTAATGTCATACAAAACTGAGAGGTGAGAAAATATTACACAGACTAGGAGGGTTGTGAGCTTTCAGTAAGGTGAAGGATTGGCTGCTTGTTTCCAGCATAAGTATCAAGACTGCAGTGATTCTAAACCATCTGCCTGCCTGATGGAGGATGTGACACAGATACCATTTGGCAACAAGCTGCTTGATGAGCTCTGTTTCTTAACTCGCTCTCATTGTTGACCTGATTAGACTTTCTACGAAATATAATTTGGAACCTGCAGATTTTGCAAAAACAGCACAAACTCCGTTTCTGCTCTGGTAAAAATCTCCTTCCTGTTGCTGCAGCTGGGTGTTAATCTGTTCTCAATTATGAGGGGAGCTGAGATACATGCCACTCAAATGAACCGAATCACACAAAAATGTCACAAGGTTTGCTCAGCTGTGTAAAAAAATGTGTCATCAGTGCCAGAGAGAATCCAGATCAGGTAAATCATTCAGTGGTAGCAAAAGCAGACTATCAGACTTGAGACTGGATCTTCTATCCCTGCTTTGGCAAATATCTCACTGTTTATTGCCAGCATCTCTGATAAATTGAGCTGGTCGCTGGCTGAGCTCTGACGGGAGCAGATTACTTTGAGTTATAAGGAAACAAACACATCTTAAAGACTGACAATTCCTCTATTTTTCCAGTGTCTTTTATTTTTGTCCTCAGCAGCCAAATTCCTCACTGTTGCCTTTGCTGGCAAACAATCGCACACAGTCTGCTGACTTTTCCAAGCCCTCTGCCCAATTACACAGCTGGTCGGGACAAACATCCAGAGGAAATAATTGATCACAGACAAAAACTAGAATGTCAAAAGATCACGGCGAGGTCAAAGTGTCCCAGTATGGCAGGTAGCTGGCCCCTGCTAGAAAAAACAAAAACAAAAACCAGAGTAATCAAGACTGACATATTTTATTTGCTTTTAAATCTCTGTGGTCTTTCTGCTAAAATCAAATTTAACGTATCATAGGAAGCTGACTCAAAATGTGATCATTAGATAAGCTGGGGGAAAAAAAGAAAGAAAGAAAATTGGACGACTGAAATTGGAGGACAGGTGCTCTTTAGATCCTCCTTGATTTCTCAGTTTTTCCTTTTTGGGATTTGCTAGTGTGCTTAGGATAATCAGTCTTACTTACAGTTCAACCCTAAACCTCAGCAATCCTGCCACTATGCTTCACAGGTAGTATGAGGTTCTTCTGTCTGTGGCCAAACAACTATCTTTCATTCATCTGTCCAGAGCACATTATAACTAAAGGTCTGTTTTTAAAGACGTTTGTCTTGGAGACTTGTTTTTTCCATTACCTTTGTGCTTGTGAGCTGAATTTTGTGGAACAGCCAGTCCTGGAAAATATAATCACATTGGGAAGCTATCAGGTGTTGGCACTCTTTACTGAAGTGACATTCCCAGTCTGTACCAATAATGCAATATCAGTCATTAAATTCTTTTCAAATTTGGTCATGGATTGTATTTGACTTCATTATTTGTAGCATCTCAAGAGGTTTGCTGTAGACCGTGAGGAGGCTCTGTTCTCTGTGAAGTTTTAAAAAAGCTTGCTTATTTTCAGCATCTTGATGCTTCTCATAT